TGATGGTGCTTTTGCCTTAAACTCTGAGTCTGTGTAAATCTGTTTTCATCCTAGGTCTTAAAGGGTTTTCTAAGATCATCATTAGCTTTTCCTCATGGGGTTTTATAAGATTGGATGCATGTTGTACCGATTTTACAGACAGAGAAGCTGCACCAGTTATAACTGTGTTTTAAAGGCAAAGAAGGGAGTGCAGCTTTAAGCATCCCAGCTTCTGTGGAGATCAGTGCTTTAACCAGTAATTCACATTGGCCACTCTGCAGATTTAATGGCAAACTCAGCCAATAAAATCCATGTCATACCTGAATTTACACTTACTTTTGTATTTTTATTTTTATTTTTTAAAAGAACATTGGTTGCATATAGAAGATATGTTTTGTTACGATGTTTAATACTTTCCATGTTCAGGTGCTTTCATCAATTTGCTGACGTACCTGCCCCTTCTGGGCCTGCTCAGCATTTCATGTAGCATTTTTGCAACATTATTGTAGGGACACTTCTTTTTTCTTTCAAGTAGAAAGCAAAGGCATCGCTGTGGCTTCTGACATCAAATGCGGTGTCATTGAAGACTCACAGTGCTCCCTCATTGCTGTGAACTACTGCCAGAAACTTGCATAGGAGTTTAGTGATGATAATATATGAAAATATCAGAACAAGTCCAAAGTTATGCAAAATCTCAGTCTGGGGTTTCACTACAAATGTTACAATCAGGCCAGGCTAGCAAAAGGCTGCTCCACTTTCCAAGAGGGCACTCAGTGAATATTTTTTTTTGCTTTAAATTTACTCAGGTTTTAAATGCAAGTTATATAGCTTTGTAAGACGTGCCTGCCCTCAGACATTCAGCCCATTTACAATAAAAACATTAGTTGTTTCGCCAGCTGATGTTGACAAATGCAAACAAAAGAGTTTTTTCTGCCAGACTGAAAGCCACCCAGCTACTCTCGAACAATGGCTGTACCCTGCAGTTCAACAGAGTCCAGGTCCTTCCAGAGCTGAGCATCACCCATGAAAGCACCATGCCCTCAACCTTCAGACGCACAAATTTGAGGGCTGTCAGCTCTGGCCTCCCAGTTAATTCCAGCTTCTGGGTTCAAGCACAAGGCAAAAGGACGATCTCTCTGAAATGTTTTGGGACTGGATCTATTGGCAGAGACTGGCTTTTTTATGATTTCACTGAGAAACCAAATGAAACCTGCAAGTGTCAGGGAGAGGTTGAATTTGATCCTTTCAAAGCAGTTTGGCAAAATGGTAGTTTTAGTGGGACTGCATTTTGTGCTTCTTTTTCAAAAGGATCTGGGTAGCTACCACAGTGCTTTACTGATAACTTCAGGGTGACACAGGTTTGTCTCACCTAAAAAGATGGTTGCTAAATCAAACTTACAAAAAGTGACCTGGATATAAACTAATATAGCAGTGTTTGTACAAGTTTGTAGGAAACTGAAATAATATGAGGTGTGAGCTTTCTACCTGTTAGATAAGGATTCTGAAGCTTGGCTTCTGCTTTTTGTGAGTTGCCATCAGAGCATTTGAGAAAAGCTAGGAGCGTCTGCACAGTTTATTGTGAGTGGTATTATGTTAGCAGCATCACATTTGTATGACTTTTGCACCACAGCAAATGCTTTACAGAATACCAACAGATCATGTCATCTAGTTTGATTCCTTGATTCATCTTTAAGTTGCTTTTTGTAGTTCTGGGTTCTTTTGAACTCAAAATGGGGAGCTGAACTATCAGAGTGGTATAAAATTTGAGTATAGTTTGCAGAAAACACAATGGAAATCACAGCATTAGGAACAAAAATTCCAGCTGATACACATTTGGTAATTTTCCTTAAGTAATTTTTGACTTCACCTTGCAGAGAAGTTGAATGGCTCAATCTCTCTACCAAAAGCATAACGCAAGGGTCCCCTGGATCCCCAAAGCAGTGGCGAATTTGCCAGGTCAGCTGGTATGTCAGTCTTAGATATGAAAACACAGTTCCCTGTTTAGGATGGAAAGAGCTGGAGACATCCCCCGCCCCCCCCAGGACCCTTGCCTCCTGTGAGAAAAGTCATGATACATCACGCATGTGAGCGATACATCTCTCTTCTTCTGACAGTCGCAAAACTTAAAAGCAGTGATTTGAGGAGAGGTGATAGATACTGCCGGATTGGCCTTCGCCAGTATAGCACACTTCTATTCTTCCAGTGTGTAGCACATAGCTCGTTACGGTTCTGTGCAGAATGATTTCTCTGCATAGCCAGGTGATGTTTAAGGAGACTAATGAGAGAAATGATACGGCCCAGAACACTGGTGTCAGGAAATATATTGCAAGGTGTCTGTCTTGGGGAAGCTGAAAGCGGGGCTTGTCTTATTATATATTTCAAAGGGGATGTCTGTGTCACCACTGAGTTAGACATGCACCCTGTCCCGTACTGCATTCAAATTAGATTTTTTCAAATTGTAGCTTTCTGTTCAATTTTCATTGGCTTAATGATAGGCTCTGTGTTGTACAGGGGCAAAACAAGAGTCCGTTGCATTGGCACGCCGTTCTTTTGAAGCGGGAACTTGTTACTGAGGCCATTGTAACGTAACTATGCAAGTGTCAGAGGACAGGATAGAGGCTGTTATGGGCTTCTGCTGTTTGTGAGGAAAATCAAACAAATGTCCCCGATGGAAAAAGGAAGCTAGCAGCTGTATGTGATGACCAGAGAATGTTTTTGTGCAGTGACACTGTCAGTACCTGGTCTGTTGTCAAACTGAAAAAACTGCCTTTTTTTTTTTTTTTCCTTCTGTCAACCGAAGTGGAGAAAACCCCTTTGAATTTTCATGATATACCTTTTCCTCATTTCCAGCACTTAACAATCCAATTATATTTGGTTTTATGCTAGTGTTTGCTTCTATTGCCATTGTTAGGTTTTTGAGTCAGTGTGATTTTTTTATCCTGATGGTGCAGAAGAAAAATATGTTTCGTTATGACTGGTTATAACCCTGGAAATCTTTTCTCTCGCTTGGGTTGATGACAATTTTTTATGTTGCATTCTATACTGATGCCTAAAGTGAAATAGAATGAACCATAAGGAAGAGAAGCTTTGCTAAAATATAGCTCCTTCCACTGTGTAGAATTATCTTGAAAAAAGCTTGCATCTTCCTAATTTTATGCTTTTTTCCCCCCACTGTTATTCAAGTAGTTTTTACAAATGAATGTTGTTTTTGTAAGGATTGTTTATGAAGCCATTGCTCTTAGCAACCCCCGCTCACCTGTGAACAAATTACATGGCACAGATAAGGTATCTAGTTGTTTCTTGATAGGGTGACCTTATAAACAGATTCTGCAACAAGACAAGCTTTTAAATTCCTAACCAAATATATTATGTGAGTAATAAAAAGAGCTCCTCAAAATGGCCACAGAGGCATTTCAGAGCACATTCTTGGGAATATTCACTTGTGCTAGCATTCATTAAGTTTGCTTTCAGCAAAAATTCTCATGAATGAAATTTTATTCACTAGCCATTATGATTATTACTTCACTATCACAGCAATAATCAGATGCTTTGTATAAGGCCAGGACCTGATTTTGTCTAAGGCTGGAGAAACATCTTATAGAGTCTCCAGAGAGTGTATTGTTCTAAATATAAGACCAGACTCAGCTAACAGCTCATGACTGGGAACTGCAAACCCTCAGAGAGCAATGGGTTTGTTTACAAGAAAATTCACAGCTAGAGAAGGATGAATGCAGAACCATACCAAATGTTATACCATTTGAACTATAGTATGTTACAGTGTTACAACTCCGCTGAAGATGAATGTAATTATACATTTTTATGTTATAAAGGTAGTTTAGGTGATGCTGACTAGTCTTATGGATAAAAGGGAGTATCTCTACAGATGCAGTTCATTGCTATACTGGACTAGTTTATCCACACACTAATGAACACATTGGAACTGGACTGTTCTGTGGTGGTTTTTTTTTAATTTAAAAAATGGCCTAACCCTAATATATGTACCAGGAAAATCCCTGAAGTGTAGGCTATGCCAAAGAGTCGGACTCTGAGCTGTGCAGTACATGGACTCCCAGAATGTGAATCAAGCCCTTCCTGGAAAAGTTAAATGAGATTTTTAGCTATGCACAGCTGAAGTATGCATGAAGTTTTGTTTCCTCCAGTCTAGAGGAACATAAAAGAGCAGAGGTATCCTATCACACTAGAGGAGGATGACTGTGGCAGGGCAGTTGCAACTTTTGGCTTTATTAGAGTTTTTCTGTCAGAAACTACTATGAAAGAAAGCAGTTTTCGTAACAGTAGAATCATTCAGTGGGCATTTTGCAAAGACAAGCTGCCCAAACAGGTTTTATGGTAGAGGAATGCTTACTGTTGTAATTCATTTCTGCAAATATGTTTAAAAAAAAATAATTAAGAAATGCAATGTTGGTACAAATGTTCATACCTGTACTTTCTCATAAAAAGATGCACCAGTTTACTGAGATCACTTTCTAGTCCCGTCTTGTTAAGCTGGCACAGAAATTATTGTAGATGCAACCCTAAACCTAGATGGTGACTTTCATGCTTTGGACCGTGTGAACAAATGAGGATGGTGCCTCCAAGCAGGTGGGCCGACTCCTCCAAGCATGAGTTGTGCCACTTCCACTTGGCAGGTGCACATGGGACTGTGCATTGACTATGTCAATCCCCTTACTTCCAGCAAGTGCCAAAAACTCACCCTGAGGGTGAAAGAAGCTCTGTATGGAGCTGGCCATTAGCAATCTGCTGTGAAAATATGTACCTGGTATGTATTGGGGGCAGATCAGTCTCATCCCACAGGGAAGAAAGCAGTGACTGGCTTTTAGTGATGGCATTTCCAGATGATTTATAGAAGTCTCCTCGTTCGGTGAAAGGCTGGTGGCCATTCTGTGGGAGCCAAGTGGGCAGTATAAATAGGAAACAGCTCTCTCCTTCCACCCCCCCATGGGTAAAGGCATTGCTCTGTGACCCATTCTTTGTGCTTCTTCTCATCCTGTATTCTGCAGAGGCGCAGAGATTTTCTGCAGTGGATGCTCGACGCTCGCGACTCAGCTGACTCCCTGGCAGCTGGGTGTTTTGATGTGATCGGTCCATCTGCCGCTTCCAGACAGAACGAAGTGCCTCTTGCTGCCAGGGCCCCATCTGAAAAGGTTCAGAAGACGTTAACAGAGGATGAGATAGCAGGCCAAGCTTTCCTGTTCCTGATCGCTGGGTACGAGACCACCACTAGCACACTGTCCTTTGCCACATACTTGCTAGCCACCAACCCAGAGTGCCAGAAGAAGGTGCTTCAGGAGGTTGATGAGTTCTCAGCAAAACATGTGAGTATGATGTGCTGGTGTGGAGCTTCATGCAGGGAGCAAGGCAACGTGCTGTCATCATGCCACTGTGGCACCTGCATGACCCCTATTTGTCTCAGTTAGGTATGCATATATTAACATTTTATTGATATTTTCAGCCAAAAATTCAAAATTAATCTGTATTGTTTAGGTTTTTTTGGAGACTATTAAATAATGTCACTTTACAGCAACTGAAGAGATGGTCCAGAAACTTTGTGTCGTAGTGAAAGCTTAACCTTTACAAATATTGTACATTATTGAAATAAACTAGCTGTCGCCAGACTCTAAAACTACACATTTCTATTTTTTTCCTCTTGTCCAGATACTTCTATTGTTTTTGTGGTGAATTTTATTTACTGATCTTTGTAAGGACATAAACAGCGTTCTTACAAACCATAAACTGCAAAGTTTTGCTTTAAATGTTCATACTTCACTTTTTTTTCTTCAGCAGCAGAATATATGTGTACGCTTCGAAAAAAATCGCAATATCTAATTCTCTTATATTGTGTTCAAATTACTTCTCCTTCACTATCTGTATTTACCAAGGGCATTTATGTTTCCTGGATAACCATTGACAGTATTTTGTATATGTAGCAGACCATGCAGCAGCCATTCTTCCACTCTACACTCTGCACAAGTTGTTAGTTATGAGAACTCAGATTTGAGAGTCTTTTTCTTTTCATGAACGCTTTTATAATGGATCGTGAGGCTAACAGGAATAAAATGACACCAGGCATGGCTGTCTTGCAGGATTTTAGCTGCTGGATTTCCATGCTGAAATCCTTAACTATACGGTTTTGGGAGTTTCATACTTTTTATGCATTCCATCCTCTGTGTTGTACTTACAGAACAAGAAAAGAGTTGTATAATTTTCTTTGCTGGTAATAGAAAATTCTTGACTATGCAAAGTGTGCCCATTCAAAAGCTACCATTTCCCTCCTTTTGCTTGTGCAAACAGAAAAGCCAGGATTTGTGTACACAGAAAATGTCTTCTTTTGTCTTGCATGACGAGGTTCTGAGCGTGGTGGTTCTCCGTCTAAGATTGCTTTTGCTCTCAGGGTGCAGCTGGATGTCAGCAGTGGAGGTTAGGACTGCGCACTCTGATCCACAGAGCTTTTTCTCGGTGCATACTTCATACCGCTGGTGTGAGTTAACTCATTACAATGAAACCGTTGATGTGTTATGTTCTAACCTATAGAGCTTGGGTTATATTCTTAGGTTATTAGCTCTACAACACTTCAACTGGAGCGTATTTACTTGTTTCATTCAAATACGGCAGACCTAATTATGCCCTTGTGTCCGGTCAGTTCAACTGACTTTCTTAAGGCCTGCAAAGGTGTGAAGGTGCAACTTGGCCTGGAGTATGTGCAGTTTACTGGTTAATACTGGTGGCAGAGTTGCACAAAGAAACTCCTGTTATGCAGCCCCAAGGAAGATACGGTTCATCTCCTCACCAGTTCCTGAAAACTGACAGCCTAAGAAACTGAAGTGAAATCGCTGGGAGAGGTATCCAATATGGTAGATATGCGATGTCATTCATATCTGTCTGTAGATGGGGATATGAATTAGTAAACTTTTCCATGTAAGTGCATAGAAAGCTGACTGCAAGCAGTCATTAACTGGCCGATTGCTTACAGATATTTCACACAGGGAGACCATGTATATGGCTATGTCTACATTAACAAGTAGTGTGCTCCTGTAGACACAGGTTCATCATCTAGCACAGTTGGTAGTGAGGACTGTTGGGTGCACACTGTACACACCTCAGGAGTTTATTTTGGGTTAGTTCGAGTCTGGCCCTGCGTACCAAATTCCGCTTAGCAATTGGACTGATCTTCTGGTTTAGTTCCAGTTAAAGGAGCCCTTGCTGTGCACTTGGAGACTGCAGTGTGAACCAGTGCAAGAGACTTGCATGTGAGCATGCTCCTGATCCAAGCTAGAGAACTAAATGGACCCTATGTTGTATATGGTCTGTCTGAGCTTTCACTCACTGTTAGTAGTATTTCAATAATAATCCAATTCAAACACATAATGCTTGACTCTCTTGGTTCTCTAACAGGAACATTTTGCTAATAATTTCGATTTTTGCAGTATCTAGGAGAAGTTGTAGAGCTAAGGACGCTTGTGGCAGAGAAGTTAAAACTTGGTGTAGAGAGATGGCACTCAAATTAAATGAATGATTTTTGCAGGTCAGCACTGTACCTCAGTGCCTTGGTGGTGCCTCAACCCAAACTGGTGGCCTCATCCCAAACCATGCTGTCTCGTGTCATATATTGATTGGAAGTACCTTTCAAATCACTTCCCCGTACTTTACTAGTTTTCAGGTTTAGCTTTAGATGATGCATATATGGCTGTATGGCCAAGGAGAAGAGGGAGAGAAGGATAACTATTAATCTGCTGTCCTTGATACCAGGAAATTCATAGATCTAATCTGTGCAGCCCCATCCTTCAAAAGATTTCCTGTTATAAACAGTTCATGATTTGAGGGGGGGCAATGCACTGCTCAAGGAGCCCATCCCAGAATAATGAAAAGAATGCAGCAGTTCAGTCCCCTTAGTGACTGTAATTAACTACTTTTAGCCTAGAAAATAAGATCTATGTGAATGGTTTGCAAGTTACGGAAGGAGAAGCTATTTTAAAACTGGGAATATATAGATGTTATGTTCAGTTGTCATGCAAGGGAGAGGAAGGGAGGGGGCATAGCAGCTACAGGCTCACAGTTAGTTATCAAGTCAGTTGCTAAGAAATTTGATTAGGTTATTGCTTGTGCTCAGCACATCAGCTTTGCTCTTATCAAGGTGCTTCGCAATTTTTGGAAACGAAGGGCTTTAGAAGGCCAAAACATGGAGAATGGTACAGTCAGGTTGTTTTGACAGGTGGTGGAAGACTGCTTTGATTTGCAGATATGCAAGTGTTAAACACAGTACCCTCAGCCAAATTTATACTCAGGTAATTATAACTACAAAATGCTCTCCACCACGTCCCCCTTCCTTGCTCCAACCATTTCAGTTGCCTCATGCAGCATGTTTTATTGCCCTAACCTGTGGTGTAGAGCTGCGCTCTGATTTTACAGCAGCTGCTGTGTATCATCCCAGAGATGGCTGTACTTTGGCAGTGGACAGAGTGATTTATACACTCATTTACTAAAGTTTATAAAGACATGTTAGAGCCATCTGAGAAAAGGTGCTATAAATGACAGGCGCAGTTCCAGTTTTTTTGGCACACCAGTCAAAAACTCAAAGCACAGTGACCTTGTGACAGCCAGTAAGGAGAGCAAGGTCGGTCCGTCTGGGCGTACAGCAGTATTTTGGTGGCTCTGGGTGTTGCACTTGAGGATACCCCTGAGTTTGCTCTGATCTTCATCTGTCTTGCTTGCACAGTGGTGACCTTAGCAGAATGGGACAGCGTGAAGGGGCAGGAGAAAGCCAAGGCACTGCTGTGTTAGAAATCCCTGGGATAGCTTGGTGCAAGCTGCTGCGGTGTGGTGCAGAAACAGGAGGTTAGGTACTAAAAGTGGTCTAGCCCCAGCTCTGTGCTGGGAGTCAGGAGCCCAGAGGAGAGGCAGGTCCAACTGACCATGTGGTACTGCTGTGTTTTGTCTGGCCAAGTTCGCCTCAGAGCTGTCTTCGGAGACCTCTCTGCCTCTCTCCACCACATTGCCTGAATACACTGTAGAAATGGCACTTCCAGGCAAGTGTCCTCAGAAAACTGCCTGGAGCGAGTCATGGGTTGTCACCTCTTTTTTTACCTCCAGGACCTTCCTCATCTGTTTGCTAAAGGACTTTTTAGGTCTTCTCTTGGCTGATAGCTCAGTGTGGAGGCTTGATAATGTCTCTTTCC